CCCGCAGATCTCCTCATTTGCCGTGTTTAATATGAGAAAGCTCTCTTTATGGTCACAAAATGGCTTTGCTCTGCCTCCAGGCATCTCATCTGCATTCCAGGCAGGCAGAAAAGGGGACGGGTGAAGAGATGAGGACACAGTGTACATCGCGAGACACCGATAAATCTAGTCTTTAGCCAAAAAAGCTTGAGCGCCCCACCCAGCAACTTCAGCTTATACCTCATTAACTGTAACTTTCTTATAAGAACATGCATAGTGGCAAGAAAGAGTGGAATGCTGAGTATATCAAGCTGAACATCATGTCGTCCTGGAAAAGAACTGAAGTTTTTAAAGGGATAGAAAGGTATTCGGTGAGAATTCCATTAAGCCTGCTGTACCCTTGTACACATGAAGACACAGCTCTCCTCAGCTGACCAATCCTCTCATGTAACAGCAAAGGGGAGATTGTCTACCTGTCAGAGACAACGTAATGGCAATGCCTTTGTGTTCCCATCAGCGTAGCTTTCCCCAGATATGAATTATCTTCAAGTGGATACTAGAGAGCTGCATCCCCATGCCTTCCCAAGACCTGGCACTGCAACAGGATGCGATTCCCAGGTGGGCTGACTGAGGATCCCATGTCTCTCATGGTCAGCCATGTTTGTGAAGTGAGAACAATCCTACCTGCTTCTATCAAATTGTTGTTGCTGTTAGGTGCAGTCAAGTCAAGCATGACTCATAGTGACCCTAGGAACAATAGACCTGAACTCTCTCCTATCACGTGCCGTTCTCACCATCTCTGACACACTCAACCTCATTGCAGCCGTCCCTATGTCAGTTCACCTGGTTGGGGGTCTTCCTCTCTTTTGTCATCTCTCCACCTTGCCAAGCATGATACCCCTTTCCAAGGAATAACTTCTCCTAGCAACATACTCAAAGTATGTGAGATGAAGCTTTGTCATCCAAGCCTCCATGGAGCACTCTGGCTGCGTCTTTTCCAAGACACATCTCTTTGTACTTTCATCAGTCCATGAGATATTCAGTACTCTTCTCCAACACCACAGCTCAAAGACATCAATTCTTCTGTCATCCTTATTCATTGTCCAGCTCTCAAATGCATAGCATGTGATTGAAAAGACCATGACTTGAATTAGGTTCACCTTAGTCCTCAAACTGACATCACTGCTCTGCAAAAATTTGGAGAGGTCCCTGGCTACAGATTTCCCAAGTGCTTATGTCTTCTGATCTCCTGACTGCTGGTAACAAGTGCATTGAATGTGGATCCATATTAAGATGAATTTGTTGACAGCTTCAATGTTTTCTCCATCTATCATGATCTTATCTGTTGATCCAGTGGTGAAAATATTTGTTTTCTTGACATTGAGATGCAATCCATATTGAAGGCAGTAGTCTTTGATCTTTTGCAATAAGCACTTGAAGTCCTCCTCACTTCGAGCAAGCAAGACTACGTCATCTGCAGAATGAAGGTTATTAATGAGTCTTCCTCCAGTCCTGATGCTACATTTTTCTTCAGAGTCCAGCTTCTTGAATAATTTGCTTCTATTAAATAAGCTTTGTAAATTGCACAAAGAGTTGGGTTTTCTGGTTGGTTGTTTTGTTTTGTTGGAGTTTTTAAAAAAATGTTTATTTTATACAGGTTTATTTACAAAGTTTGTATACACCGTTTTCCACACCGGATCATTCCTATTTTCTTCACCCTTCACCACCACCCATCAGATTGTGCAATCCTATCATTAACAACCCCCCGCCCATCCTCACTCCTCTGCTCTCCCCTTGGATTCTCATACTCATTCTACAATAATGGTCTTGTGCAGCATTTGTCCTTACGGGATTGAGTTAGTTCACTCAGCATAATGCTCTCCAGTCCCTCCCAAGTTAGGTAGTAATTTACAAAATCATTCCTCCTGCATGTTGCATTGTATTCCATTGTGTGAATGTACCATAATTTCTCAATCCATTCAATTGTGATTGCACATCTGGGTTGTTGCAATGGTTCTTGCGGTGGGTGAATAACACTGCTGTGAAAAATTCATGTTCAAGTTTCCCTTTGTGCCTCAGTTCTCATTTTCCCAGGGTATATTCCAAACAGTGGAATAGCTGGGTCATATGGAATTTCTATGTTCAGCTTTTTTAGGAAATGCCAAACTGCCTTCCAGAGTATTTGTACCATTTTACAATCCCACTAACAATGTTCCTATCCTGCTACATTATCTCCAACATTTATTACTTGCTGTCCTGTTAAACTTTGCCACTGCTACTAAAGTAAGATGGTATCTCATTGTGATTTTTATTTGCATCTCTCTTATTGCCAGTGATTTTGAGCATTTCTTCCTTTGTCTGTTGGCCATTTAAATGTCTTCCTCTGTGAAAATTCTTTCCATGTCTTTTGACCATTTTGTAATTGGGTTCTCAGTCTTTTTCTTGTGGAGGCCCCGCAGGATTCTGTAAACTTTTGATATGAGACACTGAAATGGTATTGCCAAATGGGTTTGGTTTGGTTTTTTTTTTTCTCCCAATGAGTAGTGTGGGGTTTTTTTCCCCCACTCTGCTGGAAAATGTTTTTGATGCTCACAGGGATTTAATCTTTAAAAGGTCACATTCATCAATTTCATCCTTTCCAGATCGAGCATTTCTCGTTGTATTTGGCAGTCTCTTTATACCATAGACTTGGCCTTCTAAGCTTGCTCTCAGTTTGTCTCTGATGAGTTTTATGGTTTGAGGCTTTTCTCCCAGGTCTCTACTCCACCTTGAGTTGATTTTTGTGTTTGAGGTGAATATGGATCCTGTCTGAGCTTTCTACAGGTAGCAGTCCAGTTTGCACAAGTGTTTTATAAAGTACAGGGGAGTAATAATGACAGAAATGATGAGGTGGCAATGATGGGATGGTAAGGGTCTTCTTGGGGTCTCCAAGGCTGAGTCTGACTCCCCAGGGTCTCTGAGCTCCCCACTGTTGGAAGCAGCAAGAGAAAGACTCCAGCCCTGCCCAGCGTGGCCAAGGCTGCAGGTCCAGAGGGCTGGAAGCAGACAGCATCCAGTGTCCCCTCCCGCCCTTTCCCAGGCTGTTCTGCCCTTGCACCCCCAAAGCAAGGGAACCGTCCAGGACTACATTTTACTCCAGCAAATGATTGTTTCCAGATGGCTTAGGACCAAAGCCGTGTCACTGTGCTGCAGTCTCTGCGATTAGGACTCCGGCCAGCAGACGCCTGGGGACACTGCAGGGGTCTCTGGAAGAGTGCAGTGTCACTGCGGCTGAGGCTGGTCCTGGCCCCAGGCCCCGTGCTGGCCCCTCGTCCTGCGGTGTGTGAGGACAGAGCCGTGTTGGGTCAGTCTGAGATTCCCATCCTTGGAACTGGTAACATTGCGCCAGCAGAGAGGGCCTGTTGCGGGCGTGAGGTGATTAGTGACACTTCGCACGTCCAGAATCAGAGCTCGGGATGAAGTTCTTGGCTTGGCCACTAGAGGGCCCTGTGACCGCACTTACCTCGTGACAGCAGCAAACTCGCATCTCCACTCGGGGCCTCAGTTTCTCTAATGAGACTTGCTGCTCCGGAGTCCTGTAGCAAATATTGAAGCATACTGCCGGGGGAGGTCTCTGTAGAAATGAGGTAAAAAATTGGTTCTGGCTGTTCCACCTCCAGGGAGTATATGGAATAACTATGTATGGAAAATGAGCCTCCTAGCTCTGCCAAGGGTCTGGTACTCCCCATATGATGGGACTGGGATAAAGATGTGTGGAACCCCAGTGGGCTGGAGGATCCCTTTCCTCGCTCCGTCCAGTCCTTTCTTTGACAACCACATCTTGCCGGGGGTGGGTGCATTCCTACCCACTTTCAGGTCTCTGAGGGTGCAGGGAGGATGGCTTGCACAGGGCTGGAGGGACACTTATTTGCCTCTTGTCCCCTAACCCTGTGAGGACCGATCCATAGTCCACATTCCAGCTAGCTGCAAACGAAGACCACCATGCCTACTTCACAGAGGACGGAGTCGACACATCCACGATCACAGAACCACTGAATCGGGCAGAGCAGGGACACCCATGGCGCCAGGCCCTGCCTGCCCTTCTCTCTGTGTGTCTGTGCAGCCTATCTCCTGATCCTCTGAATGGCTTCCAAGTTTGACAGCTCAGAGATCATGTGTCCTGAATTTGAATCCCAGCCCTTTCCTCTTCCTGGTGCTATGGATATAGGCCAATTAAACGATACTCTATGATCTTTTTGGTCACTTCCTATGTATCTGAGAACTGGATAATGAATAAAGCTGACAGAAAAATTGATGCTTTTGTGCTGTGGTGTTGGAGAAGAGTACTGAATATTCTGTGGACTGACAAATGAACGAACAAACAGGTATGTCTCGGAGAAGGTGCAGCCAGAGAACTCCTTGGAGGCAAAGATGACAAAGCTTCATCTCACATACTTTGGGCATGTTGCTCGGAGAGGCTATTCCTTGGAAAGGGGTATCATGCTTCCTGGAAAGGTGGAGGAAGACCCTCAACCAGGTGGATTTGCACAGTGACTGCAGCAATGGGCTTGAGTGTGAGGACGGCACGGGCTAGGACAGGCTTCAGGTCTGTTGTTCATAGGGTCGCTATGAGTCGTACCTGACTTGATGATATAACAACAACCTGTGCTTCCAGTTTCTTTTTTGGTAAAATGGGAAGAACAAAAGGTTGATTGTGAGGATTAAATGGCTTAAAACAGACAAAACTCTCAGAACACATGGGGACACGGAGTAAGCCCTCAATCTATGTTTATGTTGCTTCCCCTTTTTATTGTGATGTTTAGCACCAAATTTGCCTGGAGCCTGCCCTCCCGCACTCTGCCTCCCTGGAGGCCCAGCTACACTTGGCCGAAGCGGGCTCCTGGGCACCTGCCTTCCAGAGCCTGACAAGAGCCTTTGGAGACCTCACTGGTCATCTGGAGCCCGTAGGTTCTTCAGGTAGAGGAAGCCCACCTCCTGTCCCACCCTAACTCCCTCCAACTCAGGCTCTGCTCCTTGTGCAGATTTTAATGAGAATGGCTTCATCGATGAGGAGGACCTGCAGAACATTATCCTCCGACTGCTGAACAGTGACGATGTGTCCGAGGAACTGCTGGTGGACCTCACAAACCACGTGTGTACCTGTGGGCTCTGGGGCGAGGGCGGGGCTGGCAGGCATCGTCCAGCACTGCTGGGTAATCAGGCTGCCCATCTGGGGAGAAGATGAGCCAAGCCTGAAGTGGATGCAATATTGTTTTTTTGGTATACACACGCTTTGGGGCTCCTGTGGGAGGCAGGTAGGACAGGAGATGAGTGCCAGGTTGGAGACAACTACTTTTCAACTCCATCTCCTTTTGAGGGAGCCCCCACAGCAGGCCTCACCCATCCCAAGGTGACCCCACCCCAACACTACAGTTATTCTGGCAAAAAGGCCAGAAGCAGGATTAGCGTCAGATCACAGTGTCCCCTTCTTCACGCACTCTCTTCCCCCCCTCCCCCCGTGTAAGCACAGCATCATGGACCGTGGTCTCAGAGTGACAGTCCTATCTGTGACAAGACAGGAAGACAGCCTCACAAACCCAAGACACGGCACACTTTCATTTGTAATTGACCGCAAAACACCTTTCTGTGTTTTCATCTGGGTAAAATTAGAAGACAAGGTAAAACCCTGCATGTGTCGGGACTCATCACTCTCCTACCCATGTGACTAGGCCTCTTGCATACTGCAGCACAGAGGGGAGGACCAGGGGCCTAGTGCTAAGGAGTTGCACTGCCAACCCAAAGGCAGGCAGTTCGAATCCACCAGCTGCTCCCCAGGAGAAAGAGGGGCCATCTCCTTCCACGAAGTTCACTGCCTCTGAAAACCCGCCAGAGGGTCAGCTGTGTGTTGGTTCTAACTTGATGGTTCTCAACACTGCAGTGCAGATCTTCTGTGAAGAGGTAGCCAGGGACAGAGATGGGAATTGTATTCATGTCCTAGAGCCTGGTAACAAAATACCACAAGTTGAATGTTCTACAAGAACAAAAGTGTATTGTCTCACAGTTCAGGAGGTGAGAAGGTCAAATCAGGACAGTAGTCACGCGTCCTCGTGTCTCCCTCCCAGGTTCTAGTAGTTGCAGGCGCTCATTAGCTTGTAGGTAAAGATTTCCTTCTCCGTCACCCCTTCTCTGTAACACCCCTTCTCTGTAGTGTCCCTTCTCTGTAACACCCCTTCTCTGTAACACCCCTTCTCTGAACCCCCCTTTTCTGTAGCACTCCTTCTCTGTAGTGCCCCTTCTCTGTAACCCCCTTTTCTGTAGCACCCCTTCTCTGTAGTGCCCCTTCTCTGTAACCCCCTTTTCTATAGCACCCCTTCTCCATAGCCCCCTCCTCTGTAGTGCCCATTCTCTGCCCTCTTATCTGGTTGTATCCTCTCCTCTTTTGTGAGGACACCAGTTACATCAATTTAGGACCCATCCTACTCCAGCGTGACTTCATGCTGTTCTAACCAAGAATATCTTCAAAGTTTCTATTCCCAAACAGGACCACATTCACAGGCATAAGTGTTAACACGTCCACATATGTTTTTGAGAGAACATAATTCCACCTGTGACAAGTACACCCCCCAGTGACCCTGCCCTCACTGCCAGGCTTGTGCTGGTGGCATGGGAAGGGTTCTCATGAGTCAACCCAACCGTCAGGTCTCAAACTTTATTGCAAGTAAACTCATATCAATCCGCTTTGGTTTCTGGTCTGTGGAAGGGGTCTCCTAATACCTATTTAACACAGGTGAGGAGGCTTCAAGGTGCTAAGTGTTGGCCTTGGCAGATGTCCTGGCATGTGATAGCCACTCTATATGTGGCAAGTCCTCCCATCACATGGTGGCGGTGGGTGGGTGGTTGTTATGTGCCCTCAAGTAAGAACCAACTCACAGCTGACCCTCCAGCAGGTTTTCAGAGGGAAAATCACATGGGAGGAGACTGTCCGTCTTTCTCCTCTGGAGAAGCTGGTGGATTCGAACCATGTGCCTTTGGGTTGGCAGCACAATTCCTTACCACCAGGCCACCAGAGCTGCCTTCCTACTTATGGAGTTCCCACCAGCTGTTGGAGGGAATTACCTCTCCATCCCCCACTTCGCTGTCTTGACACAGAGTTCCTCCCTGGGCAGGTCCTGAGAGAATCTGACCTGGACAATGACAACATGCTGTCTTTCTCAGAGTTTGAACACGCAATGGCCAAGTCTCCAGACTTCATGAGGTAACGAGTTTCGCAGGGGGAGGGCACCATGAGAGGCAGGAAGGACCCGTCTGTCTCCTCTCAACCAATGGTGTGCTTCACTTTTCCTAAAGAGATGACCAATATCCAGAGTACTTTGCTAATTCTTTCAAGATTAGTCAAACTGAAACTTCTTAAAAATGAGGTAACCTAGGAAGAGGACTACAGCCTTCAGTATGGATTATACCTCAACATAAACAAAACAAAAACCAGAACCAATTGGTTCTGACATCAACAAGTGACATCTTAATTCACAAAGAAAAGCTTGACATTGTCAAGGACTTCGTTTTATTTGGATCCACAGTCACCAGTCATGGAAGCAATCATCAAAGAAGGCAAGAGATAGGCTGCAGTGGGCAAAGCGGCTGCAAAAAGGCCCCTTAAAAACGCTGAAAAGAGGTCACTTTGAAGACTAAGGTGCACTTGACCTGAGCTATAGTGTCTCACATGCAAGCAAAAGCTGGGCAATGAATAAAGACCACCAAAGAAGAATCAGTCCTTTGAATTGTATTGGTGAAGGATGTGAAATACATCATGGGCCACCAGAAGAACAAGCAAATACGTTTTGACAGGAGTGTGGCCTGACCATTTCTCGGAAGGGAGGGTGGTAAGACTTCATCTCACAAAGTCTGGACTTGCTAACAGGACTGACTAGTCCTTGGCGGGGGCACCACGTTCATAAAGTAGGGGATCAGCAAGAAAGAGGAGGGCCCTCCAGGAGGTGGATGGCACGGTGGCTCCAGTGAAGGAGTCAAGCATGGCAGTGACAAGTGTGGACGATGCAAGACCGGGCAGCTCATCCTGCTGTATGTATGCAGAGTCTCTGTGACCTCGTGTCCATCACTGCTGTGTGTAGGGTCACCATCTCAGTGAACCCAACAGCAATCCTCTATTTGACCAAACGTAAGGCCACGTCTGCAGGGACCAGCCTGTTCTGATAACATGCCCGGAGTGAGTGAGACCTTGCCACCTGCCTCCTATGAAGCAGGCTGGCTGAGCTGCTCCCAATTCAGAGTCCTTCATTCTCCTGGCAGCCCATGGGGCACACCTGTCAGTTGGCCTTCCAGTGGTGGCTTTCATGTAGCTGGAAGTTTTGCTCTAATGGGTTCACCAAGGGTGGATATGTTTCAGTGGCACTTCCAGACTAAGACAGACTAGGAAGTAGGCCTGGCTATCCACTCCTAAAATAATGGGTGCACGAAACCCCCATGGATAGCCTAAGGAGAGACCAGAAGTGAGTTATGAAGGGTAAAGGGGAGGACTCCATTCTAGGCTTCTTGATCTCTAGCGGCCACGCCTGGACTCTTTGCCCAAAGCCCACTTGGCTCTGAGATTGACACAAAGAACTGTCTGCCCTGCTACCCTTGCTTCCCTTCCACAATATAGTGGCATCACTCGCTGAAGATTTGCTGGAGCTATAAGCATTCTGATGGAGCCCTGATGGTACAGCGGTTACTGTACTTGGTTATTGAACAGGCCGGTGCTCTGAACTCACTAGCTTCTCTGAGAAAGATGTGATAATCTGCTTCTCTAAAGATCACAGCCTTAGGAACCCTATTTGAGTAGTTAAACTCTGGTGTATAAGGTTGTTAAGATAGACTTGACAGCCATGGAATGAGTTTGGTTATCTGCTAGGAAAATGCTAAAGGTTGGAGCCCAGAGAAGAACTCACACATTTCCAACTCATGATTCAATTCTGTTAGGAAACAAACTCAAATAGAGAAGCAATTTGACTTCTTAAAGTGTGAATAGCCCTGAGGGTCCTATCTGGTCTGAATACCTTGGATTTCTTAGAATCACCGTATTTCTCTGGCCAGGTCTACGAGTCACTTTTGAATCCCTCTAGTTAAAGGAAATCCTCTACATCTGGTGTAAACCTGTTCTGTTACTGAACGGCACCACCAGACTGCTCCCCTCAAGTTGAATGGGTATCTGTTGACATGTGTCTTCTATTCCCGGTCTTGTTCTGCCCCTGGGTCCCAGAGCCTAGACTAATTTGATAACAAGAAAAAGAGTACTCTCTCAAGATGACTTAACGATCAAATAAAAATCAACAAAGGCACCTAAACTTTGGAGAGGACCAAGTCTCTCTCTCTCTCGGTGCCCAGTCTCTGCCTTTTTTCTCAACTCTACTGCTCTTTGCTTCATGCTGCAAACCAGCAGTCAACCTCGGCTTTGTCAAACCCAAAGCCAAAATGGCTTACGCTATCGAGTCTGTATCCCCTGGGGTTCAACTAGCCCGCAGTGACTCTTACTGACTCTCAGCTCTGACAGCAAACTCTATGGGGACAGAATCTGACTGACTCAGCTTAGCTCTTGTGTCACCCCTGTCTACCCCCTTGCATGGGAATAGGACCTCATCCTTCCAGCTTGGCCGCTAGGGGAATGTGGCTTGGGCCAACTCTTTCTAAAAAAAAAAGGTTACCATATTAGGAAGTACCCCAGCCAAATTCCTCTTCTTACATAGCAGCTCACCACATAATTAAGGCAGGCTATATTCAGGGCAGGGAAGGGTGCAGAGCTGCTGTACACAGGGTCGCTATGCATTGCAGGTGACTCAACGGCACATAACAACAATAACATACTATGACAGGTTCGGAAGCAGGAGTGGCATCCACTTCCTAAAGAACATACCTCCAGAAACTCTATGAACTTTGATAAATGACGATGGTTATAGAGGGGCCTTAGGCCTTTTGTTCATTGGGTCCCTATCACCCATGTTTGACTCGAAGGCAATCAACAGCAACATATTTGGGTCAGCTCCAACTCTACGGGACACAACAGTGACATAGTCCTGTCCTCCTTGAATGTCTCTGTGGTTCCTGCCCACACATTCTGAGACCCTTAGCCATGCTCCTTGTGTACCCAAAGCTGACCTTCCAGCAGGTTTTCAGGGCCTGTAAAGGCATGGGAGGAGGTTACCCACCCTTCTCCTGTGAAACAGCTGGTAGATTTGAACCATCTACTCTCGGGTTGGCAACACAATTCCTTACCACTAAGTCATCAAAGTTTTCTTAGTATTAAAAGAAACTTCGAGAAGGCTTTGGATTGACTTGGGAGAGCTGCAAACTGGCCACTGTCTCAAGAGGAATATCAAGGAGGGTGCTGTAAGATGACCGTTACTCTGAGGTTAGAAGGCCCTGTAGAACGGTAGGCTCCTGGTGACTCACTGGATTCTTTCTCCCAGCTCCTTTCGGATTCATTCCTGGGAATTATGATGGGGTCTAAACCCCCTGCTCGGGCAGCCTCCCAGGACAACATTGGAATCTGGAATCCAGCATCTTTGGCGCGCAAGAGGAATCGACTTTGAAATGTGACCTTGTTCCTGGCCCGCCCTAACCTTTCTTCTGTGCTTATTAAAAAATAAAAAGGCTTCATCTCACCCCATCAGTTCATAATTTTTTAATGCAGTATCATATACAGTACTTTTTATTCAGAACTGTTCATTCCGAGGCTTGAGTCTGCCAATGACATCAAGTGAGACAATCTTTTTTTTTTTTTTTTTTTTTTGAGGGCAGGGTTCAAATTCCAGCATTCAGCACAGTAGGGGACCAGGCCAAATGGGATAAGTTCACCAAGGAAAAATCCATGTCCTTCCTTCCCTTTACCAGACCTCCCACCCCTGCTCCTACCCTTGCACTGCCCGGCACTGGGCTGTGCACTAATGTACACATAGCTGTCGTTCCAGGGGCACCCCCTCCCGCCCACTCCCAGGCCTTGTTGGAGAGAGAAGTCATGTTGGCCCCACTTGGCATCTTCAGGTCCCCTGAGGGGACAGTGTGTGATGAGCAATCAGGACTGATGTGCTGACTCTTCAGCCTAACTTGGCCGCCACATGGACCCATTGGGGCCCAGCTGGCCAGGGACTCTGAGAGCAGGAGAAGCACTCCCTCATGGGGGTTTCCACGCATCGTCTGGTATTTGCCAGATAGGGTCATGGTTGCTCTTCACACAGTCCTGGAAGGAAATGTGTAAACCTTGGTTTACAGGGGAAAGCTGTGACCCTCATCTGCACTGTGGTCCCCTTGCTATTTTAACTCATCCCTTCACTGCTAAGAAGGGGCCCATGGCTTGATGGAGCTCCCTTGACCAAGCTTAGGAGCCACGAGAATGTTGGAGAACGTGTACAGTGTGAGCACACACCCAGCCTGAGGACCCCACGTCTAGATTTTGTAACTCGGGGACTTTGTGTCACATCCTGTCCCCTGCCAGCCGGCAGATGGCATCCCAGCAGGGGGAAGAAGCACCTGATGATGGCAGACAGCAGATCCTGGAATACCCAGGCTGTGTAGGTATGTGGCCTAGGAAGCCAGCCTCCCATTAGGACTGGAGAGTCCTAAAACACTCCTTTAAGAATGGCATTAATAAAAAAAAAAGAAAAGAAAAAAAAAAGAATAGCATTAGTTCTGGGTCACTCTGTTTCACCCTCTTCTAGAAATGGTCTTGAGAGCAGATGCCACTTGGGCAAAATGAATAGAAGTAGCCACGGCACACAGCCACGTCTGAGGCTGCACCCCTTCCCAGGGTCCTTCAGGATTCCGTGGGCTGGATCATTCTCGCCTCTCAGTCTCCACATACAACCCAGATAAGACATGCTTGGAAAACCAAGGACTCAGAGGCAGCGAGACCTAGGTTCAAGTCCCGAATGTGGCGCCTATTACCTGTGTAACTCTGGACCACCTTCTCAACCTTCTCTGTCTGGGCTTCAGTCTCTACCAGTAACATGGAGCTGCTAACATCTCCCTCACAAGGTCACTACAGAGACTCATGACACAGCACTGGTGCTCAGATGGAAAATGCTTTCTGTCTGACACCCAGTACAACTGTTTCTAGGGCCTTTTGACTTCACCCTCAGAAATGAGACAATTAGGCTTCTCAATTTTACCAGTGAAAGCAGAGAGGGTGTCTCTATGTCTGAGCCACCTGCCACCAAGACCAGAAAACCAAGACCATCACAGGTCTATCTTCTTCCACTTTGGGGGAGAAAGTGGGTGATTCCAGCAGGTCACAGAACACTGCTTCTTGTGTTCCTGGGCTGCACTTTTCACAAAGGAACCATTCTGTGTGATCCTTCTGTCCGGTTCTGACCAGATGTTCTCAGGACCCACAGGAGAGGAACATGGAATGGTCATGGCTAAAGATTTTATTCCAAACAAGCCATGCTGTCCAGGCCAAGGCTCTTGGTCTCATGCTCTGAACTCAAAGTAGCAGTCTCTCTTCTGTCGTTCCTGTGGGGAGACCCTCTTTCCTGATGGGAAGGTCTGGTAGGTCTTCAGATTCTCGGGGGCCACTCTTAAAAGGTGCCACTTGTCCTTTGGGCTCAGAGGAGGCCTAAGGGGTGGAGAGAAAGACAGGTGTCATGCAGGATGTCAGAGAAGAGACAGTAAAAAAAAAAAAAAATTAAAAAAAAAACCCCACCATCCATTCTAGCCACTTTCCAGTTCTTTGGACCTTGAGGCCAAAGGGCAGAAGATGAGCACAGGAGCTCCCCAAGGCTCCCCAGCTCTGCTGGTGCTAAGGGTGATGGGGCAGGAGCCAGGGGAGTCCCTGGGTGGGAGAGCTCAGCCAATCAGAGGACTGAGTCCTGAGCCCACCCCTCCTAGACCCACTGCCGGTAGTCCCATGGCCCCTAGCCAGGCTCACTAGGCTTCCTATAGTCCCCTCAGGGACTCTGAAACAGCAACTAAAGACCCTTGTAAAGCAGGGATGGCAAAGTTGACTCACCTAGCTTGCAACAAGAGTCTTTAGGGGAAGCTCAATCTGGTTTGGTTTGTTTTGGTTTTGTTGGTTGGTTGGTTGGCTGGTTTTTTTACGATATGGAGGTGTAGTACATAACCTACCAGGCTCCTAATCAAAAGGTTGACAGTTCAAATCCATTAGTTGCACCTTGGGAGAGAGATGAGCTGTCTCCTCCTGTAACAATTTAGTCCCCTGAAAACCTGATGAAAGGTCACTATGAGTCCCAACCAACTTGATAGCACTGGGTACAGTTTTCCTTCAAGAGAATGTCATCGTGGTAACAACAACTCAGAGCAATAACTCAGCAATTCAAGTTGACTACAACTCATCGTGACCTTGTGGACAGTAGCACTGGATCCTACTCAATCCTGAACCAATCTAACCATCTTCGACACACCCGACCCCATTACCACCGTCACTATGTCAATTCATCTTGTCTCAGTTCAATCCATCTCTCTCCTGTGCTGACCTTCCACCTTTCCAAGCATGATGTCCCTCTCCAAGGACTGGTTCCTCCTGGCAACAGGCCTTGCCTCCAAGGAGCAACCTGGCATTATCTTCTCCAAGATAGGCCTGTTTGTTCTCTTGGCAGTCCATGGTATGTTCAATATTCTTCTCTAGCACCACAACTCAAAAGCATCAATTTTTCTTCTGTTATCTTCTTGGCAGTCCATGGTATGTTCAATACTCTTCTCTAGCACCACAACTCAAAAGCATCAATTCTTCTTCTGTTATCTTTAGTCACTGTCAAATTCTCAGATGCATATCAAGTAATTGAAAAGACTATGCTCTGGATCAAGTGCACCTTAGTCTTTTGACTGACACCATTGCTCTTTAGCACTCTGGAGAGGTTCTTAACAGCAGATTCCTAATGCAACTTATCTTTTGATTTCCTAACTGTTAGTGCCAAGGGTGTTGGTTGTGGATCCAAGCAAGAAGAAATAATTAGCAGATTCAATATTTTTGCTATCATGAAGATTTTTGTTTTCCTGATATTCAGATATAAGCCATATTGAAGGCTGTGGTCCTTGATCTTCTAAAGCAAGCACTTCAAGTCCTCCTTAGTTTCTGTAAGATTATGTCGTCTATATAATGCAGGTTGTTGATGAGTCTTCCTCCAATCCTGATGCCACATTCTTCTTCATAAAAGTACAGCCCTTAGAATGATCTGTTCAGCATAGTTTGAAAAGGTATGAAGAAAGGATACATCCTGACACACTCCTTTCTTGATTTTAAACCTAGCAGCATCCTTTTGCCCTGTTTGGATAACAACTTCTTGGTCTAGGTATAGGTTTCACATGAGCACAATTAAGTGTTTTGGGATTACCATTCTTCTCAATGTTAGCCACAATTTGTTGTCAAATTGTGTATAGTCAATAAAACATCCTTCTGGTACCCTCTGCTTTCGGCCAAGACTATCTGATATCATCAATAATATCCCTCATGCCACAGCCTCTAATAAACCCAGTTTGTGTTTCCAGCTGTTATCTGTCTATGTACTGTTCTAGACATTTTTGGGTAATGTTCAGCAATAATTTGTTTGCATGTATACTAATAATATTGCTAAATAATTTGTACATTCTGTTAAATCGCCCTTTTGGGAACAGGAATAAATATGGATCTCTTTCAGTCAGTTGGCCAGGCAATTGTCCTCCAGATTTCTTGGCACAACCTGATGAGCACATCCAGGGCTGCATCTGTTTCTTGTAATATGTTAATTGGTATCCCATCAACTCCTGGGGCCCTGTTTTTTGCCAATTCGTTCAGAGAAGGTTGAACTTCTTCCTTTATTACCATTGTCTCTTGATATGTGCTACTTCCTGAAATGGTTCTGTGTCAGTCAATTGTTTTTGGTACCGTGTATTCCTTCTATCTTCTTTTGATGTTTCCTGGTTCATTCAAGATGTAGTCTATCAATGATGATGATGGTAAATTTCAAGGCTCTCCAGGGTAGAGGGATGCCTCTCCCTGGAGGAAGTGTCCAGGTTCTTCCCCTGTAGGTCATCTGCAGTCTCCAGCTGGACACCAGCCACCACCACCCTAGTGCATGCAGAAGGGGCTCTCCTTGCAGAAAGGAGCTCTCTAGTGAAAGCACTGAGAGGGAAGTGGTGGGGAAATGTCATATTTTGTGAGGTGGACAATTGGATCTTTAAAAGTATTTTAAGTCCTTCAACAACAACTCTTCACTATTGGGCTGGAACCGACTCAGTTGACCCTCTGGCAGGTCCTCGGAGGCTGTAAACCACACAGGAAGAGATTAGCCATCTTTCTCCCTTGAACTAGCTGGCGTATTCCATATGCTTTTGAATAGACAGAGCGACTCCTTACCCATCAGGCCTCTAGAGCTCGCTAGAACAAGTCTGTCAAGTGGATTCTGACGTATAATGAGTCTCCATCGGTTTCTGAGGTTGTAAATCTTAACAAGAGGTGTTTGTCCATCTTTCTCCTGCAAAGCCGCAGGTAGATTCCAGGACAACACACTGTGGAAGGAGCCACCAGAGCGCCTGGAATGCCGCTTTGGGGACCACGCCTGCTCCCTGTAGTTCCCGCCATGACCACTAGAGGGCAGCAGCGCCTGGCTGCTCCGGATCAGCGGGCACACACTAGGTTTAAGCAAGTTGCAAGGCTGTCATTTCTTAGCTAGGGGAAGAAGTTTGCAGATTTGACCCACCAGAGATTAAGAGGTTTGCTTCCAGGGCATCTTGTTGGGAAAAGAGCTTCCTCACGCTACCCATTCAGTCTACTGGCATCGCTCCTGAGCCTACAGAGGCCCTGGCCCCCTGTTTCTGTAACTGTCACTGTTTCTGCGCTGCAGCTCAGGTGGCTGGACACAGAGGGCAGAGACCAAGTGCCTGCAGGAAACGTTTACTCTGTGCACGGATGGAAAGGGAGGCACTCACAGCTGCGTGGGGAGGGGGTAGTGCTCCGACTCCTTCACGGGCAGCACGAAATACGGGACCCTGGGCACCTTGCCCGTCTTGTCTCGGTAGTACTCGCGATGCTGCTGAACAGACTGCACTTCCGCCAAAAGAGAAAACAAGTTCGTCAGTGTGCAAGAATAAATGAGAGCACCCACAGTCCCATGGCTTTTCAGGGGCAGGGGCACCACGAATACCCTAATTCTCCTAGAGGGGTTCATACTCTTGGAGCCGCAGATCAACACCTAATCAAGTTGTCCCCTCTGCACCTCGGTTCTCCCAGCTTTGCGATGGAGAGCCCCCATAGGGGGCCAGCTGAGCGAGACAAGGTGTGAACACCCAGTGTTCGGGCGGTGTGGTGTGTGTCTGCCCCTCCCTGCTCTTCTCTCCAGGACAGGCTACGGTTCTGTTTGTCTATGTGAGGGCCCTGGAGGGAAAAGTCTTCCCGATTCCACTGGGCAGGCCCCAGCAGCTCCCTGGAGTCTGTTGTCAGGACAGAAACTTCCATAAGAGTTCTCTACCCTGAGCGCCAGGAGGCATTTGTGCTCTTGAAATCAGGCTGGGAGGGAGGTGTGTTTAAAAGAGGGGGATAAGGGAGAGAGTGATGTTTTCAGGAACTCAGCAGGTAATAGTTCCCACACTTTCTACAGGTTCTCTAACTCCTCCAGATGCTCCCTAACATCTCCTGATGTTCCCTAACTTCTGCAGGTGCTCCCTAACTCTTCAAGACGCTCCTTAACTTTTCCTGATGCTCCCTAGTTTTTCCAGGTGCTCCTTGACCTCTCTAGATGCTCCCCATGTTCTCTAGGAGCTCCCTGCCTTTTCCAGGTGAGCCCTTACCCCCACCAAGTCCAGTGAGCGGCTATCCCCCTGTGGCTGGGTCCTCCCACACATCATGGAATCTGCTGGCATGTGTTAGAACCTGACCCAGGAGAGGTTCTAAGAGCCAGACAAGCAGGACAAGAATACTGGGAGCATGAGCAAGTCCTTCTAATTGCTCTCTCCTCCCTAAAGGACAGGCAGGGACTGGAATCAGACTGGAGCAAAGAAGCCAGGGGAAGTGCCAGCCAGGTGGGCAAGCGGATCATAGACCCAGAGCTGGGCCCAGACTAGAGTTTCATTCACATAAGCCTCTGAATCTTATAGGCTGCAGAGCCCAGAAGCTACAGGCAAAAGGTGGGTGCAGGAACCGCCCACAGCTCCTCAGCTCTGCTGGCGTAAGGAGTGAGCAGGGCAGGAATCCCTCAGGACCCAGGGTAGGAGGCTGATCAGAGACCTGTGCCCTGAGCTGCTCCCCACTCCTCAGCCAAGCTCACCCCTCCCTGTAAACTCAGAGGCTGAAAGAGCAAATAAAGGCCCTGCAGGTCTTCCCTGACCTCCAGGGAGGAGGGGAGACAGGAACCCAGGCCCCTAGGCAGCCCACCTGGTAGAAGTGAGTGAGGTGGGAGCAGCGGCTGCTGTCCAGGTTGTAGCGGGTGTAGCTGGGGACGAGCAGCAGGCGGTCCCGGTCCTGGGTGTTGGTGTTGGAGCGGCTGCTCAGCACGAGGCTGGGGTCTGGGGAGAAGATGGGCGGGAAGTGGCCACCGTGGCTGAAGTGGCTCTTCTCCATGGCTGCGTTGCGACAGTCCTGGAAGTACTTGAGGGTAGTATTACCATAGGTAGAGCCGCAGGAGAAGGCCTGCCCTGGAATGTGGCCTCCATACCTGCGAGGGCGGTGTAGGTGGGTGGGGGATACGGGTCAGCTGAGGGCTTCAGTGCCGGTTCCAAAGAGAGGTCTGCAGAAATCTGGGTGAGGTCAGTGGACCCCCATAGTCATTTCTGGGCATGTTTTCAGAAGAGGCCAGTCTTCGGAGAAGGGCATCATGTTTGGAAAGGTAGAGTGTCAGAGCAAGAGAGGACGACCCTGGATGAGACGGACTGGCATATTGGCTGTGGCAGTGGGGGAAGGTGTGTGGAGATGGTGAGGCCAGCTCGGGGTAGGGCGGGGTTCAGAGCTATTGTGCATAGGGTCGCTGTGAGTCACAGTCTGTTCAATGACACATAACAACAAGAAGGGATAATGAATCGTCTTTGAAAAAACTAAGTGGAGGAAACTGGAGTCTCTCCTTACCCCCAAAGATCTCTACCTCGGGGGTGGGGGTGAGCTTATACAGGGGCCAAGGGATCAAGATGTCAAGATCCCAGGGTCCAGACCCCAACCCGTCAGTTTTTAAGCAAAGTGCTCTCTCTTAGCAGGACTCTGTCTACTGGACGTTCCGCCCACTGATGCCCAGTGCTGATCTCCTGTGGCTATTTGAGTAACAAGTAGAGGAGGTCTGTGAAGGAGTAGGGTGCGATCTGTAAAATGTGATTGATCTGTGGTAGTGGAGGCCTGAATCCAGAATGCTGCCATCCCCCTCCTAACACAGCTGTCCCCCCAGCCCCAGCCCAGCCCTGTTGTGCTGCTCAGATGCCTGAAGCCCAGCCAGAGGCTCCAGACCTTGAGGAGGCCCACCATCCTCCATCCTGTGCAGCCAAGGACGCCCTGTGAGAGGGGCAGGAGACCAGCAGGTCAGTACAGCGCTAAGACTCTTCGTTCACTCCTCACCTTCCTGGAATCTGCCCTCTGCCCCCACGGTGCCTTTGAACTTTCTCTGGGCAAGGGTCACCTGCTGCTAAATCAATCCAGCAGGTGCTTTTCAGACTTTCATGGGACTTAACCTCCCTGTAGAGTCCCTGGCTGGGCTGCTGACAAAAAGGTTGGTAGTTTGGGTTCACCCAACAGTGTACCTCGGAAGAAAGGCCTGGCAATCTACTTTCAAAAATTCAGCCCCTAAAGCCCTGTGGTGTGCAATTCCTGTCTGACACACAGCGGCTGCCATCAGTTGAAATCAACAGCAATTAGCTTAACGTGTGCCCATAGCACTGGACATTGCAGACCTCCTCTTCTTGAAAGCCTCTTTATTTTTCATTATACTATTCTCTCATTTTCTGTCCCTACCACCTCAGTACCTTCTCCATAAGCTTTCTCCTCTGCCAACCTCTTAAGTTCCCCTGGGTCTGTTTATAACCCAGAGTCTTCTGGGCGATGGCAACCACACCATGGCCTTAACCACCACTTGTAAGCTGACGACCCCTGGTCTACCTCTCCTGCTCAAAGCTCTCCTACAGGCATGAGACGACCACTTCAAATGCACGCTAGACATGTTCCCTGAGTGCTCCCCAGACATTCTCTTCCCACCCTCACCTTCCCTAGCCCTCAATCCCCCATCTTTGTGAAAAGCCCTCCTTCAGTGTCCAGATCAGAAACTTGGGCCCTCCATCTCTCTCATCCTTGGCATCCAGTCAGTGCTCCAGTCCTGGGCTTTATCTCTACTCCTTCAGCCTAAGCCATGATCACCTTTACCTGGACCATCGAGTGGTATCCTCAGCATCCTCACTGCTTCCACGTGTCTGCCCCTGGGGCTCACTTTCCACGCGGCCACATCGAGCATTTGAAAGTCAGACTCTTTAGAATGGCACTGGAGGCCTCCCTCCCCAGCCTCCCCATTCACCCTAAACCCCTTCCATAAAGATCCATTCACTGGAGAGGGATATCATGCTTGGAATGATAGGGGATTGGAGAAGGAGAGGAAGACTGCTGATGAGATGGACTTTAGTGACTTCTTCGGAGGAGATGACCCATCTTTCTCCTGCAAAGTAGTTGCTAGATTTGTACCATGTAACTTTGCATTACACCTATTCACATTAACCCAGTTACTGTGTCATTGTGGGTAGGTGTGTTGGAGTCAGTGAGACTGGCTCAGGATAGGGCAGGGTTCAGAGCTATTGTACACAGGGTTGCTATGAGTCGCAGGCGACTTGATGGCTTGTCACAACAACCACCTTTGCATTGTCAAGTCAATTCCTTACCACTAAACCACCAGAACTAGTCAAGTGAATGATGGATGTACAGTACCAGTATATTTACACCTGGACCAGCACAAAGAAACCTCCAAAGAAGAGGGATTCGGCCTTAGAAGCTGGGAACACAACTGAGACCCCACCCACGGAATACTTGTAATTTTATGTTCTATCACGTTCATTTCTCTTATCACACGTCCAACAGAGCTCTGGTGGCTTAGTGGTAAAAGAACCTATGCTGCAACGCCAAAGGCGTGTGGTTTGAATCCACCGACTGCTCTGCAGGAGAAGGGTGGGCCATCTCCTCCCATGCAGTTAACTGCCTCTGAAGCGTCAGCTGTGGGTCAGTTCTGATTCACTGGCAAACGACGACATCACTTGTCCAAACATTTCTAGTGAAGTTCAGAAGTTCAAGGAGCCTCGCAACCTGCTGCCAATCATCTGCTTCTGCATATCAGAAAAACGTGCCCTGAATCAGAGGCCACAGAGCATGGAGATCTTCGAAGTCACCACTTGACTGTCTCTGAAAGCTGTGTCAAGCCTCAGTCTTTTCACCAATACAATGGGTACCACTCATATCAGTCTCTAGTGTGGGGTTGCCTCTGACTCTTGATAGCCCTGAGTATGTCAGGGTACAATGTACATCCAAAGGTTTTCAATGAAGCAGTTTTTTTTTAAACTAGATCACTGATCCTTCTCCTGGAGTACTGCTGGGTAGATTCAAACTTCCAAACTTTCTGTTACCAGGAGAGCCAGTCAAGCATTTCCACTACCCAGGGACTGCAGCAGGAGGAGTGCTGAACTAGAACTAGACACTGATGCAGAGATGCTCCCTTTTCATCTTGAGGAGCAAAGCGGGAAAGCGATTCCTGGTAGACCTTCCATTGCCTCCCATGCAGCTCAGCCACGCTCCATGCTCCTGCCGGCGGGGTTCCTGCTCACCCAAAAGTATAGCCTCTCTGCTGGTTTGGCTCCACCAGCGGCTCCAGACAAGAAAAATGGGCCATCTATCTCCTCCTCTGCGATTTATGGCCTCTGAAACCCACGAGAGGGTTAGCTATGACTTGGTTCTGACTCAAAGGCAATGAATTGAGTTGTTGTTGGGTTTCTAACAAAAATGACTCTTTTCAGTTTATTGCATGAAGAAGTTACACTAGTCCAAGTTAAAAGAGGACCCCAAATGGTTACATTATACAAGCTGTGAGGTTTTAAACTTGTGACGAGGGACAAAGGGGAATTTTTCAACTCAGTGGAAGGAAATCTTCACTTAAGCTTCCTCTGGTTGTTCTCAGCCAGTCCAGTCTCTACAAGGAACTGGTGTATGTTCTTGCGCTGGTCACCCTGAAACTGCATTACTTCTCTGTACTCTGGATGCTTAATTAGAGCACCACTGTAGTCAATTTTTTTCTTAAATTCCTTCACTAGTTTCTTTTTATCTTAATCATCAGCGATCCTCTGGACAGTTGTAAGGGTCTTCCTGCTGTATCTCTGCTGAATTCTTCTTTTTTTTGGGGGGGGTATGTATTTTTTTTTTAACAGAGGTTTTGGATTTCCATTCATTCATTGCCGCAATTTTCTCCCTGCCCACCCTCCCCACCAGCTCGCTTCCCCCTCCGAAGAGAGAGAAAAAAAATTCCTTCATTAGTATACAATTCCCTCATCCCTTCCCCCCCCCAGTACACTTCTCTATTCTGCTGAATTCTTATATGGATATAATCCTCAGTCCCAGTAGGAAGCAAGTCATCACATCATGCTTATTTGCATCAGCAAAGGGGTTGAAAGAGTGGAGGTTCTGGAGAGAGGACATAGGATATGGTTCCTTTTCTTTGGTGGAAATGGCCTGCGGAAGGCAGTGGCGGCGGGAGAAGGGGAGAGGGCAGACTGAGGGGTGAGGAAGTGAGGGGGCTTTAGGGGGAGGCAGCTGAATCCTCAGTGACTGTGAGTTGTTGTAGGTAAAGCATGAAGAGTCCCTCCTCGGGTCCTGGTCACCCTAGGTAACCGTGCTTTCCTGGAGTCTGAGCCGCCAGAGGCCAGAGTCGTGATTATGTGTGCAGAGCAGGCTGCACAGTCAGGACATTTCTCTGCTGGACTCACAGGACTCTACCTCCCCCAGGGGCCTCCTCATGGTCAGAGCCAGCGGCCTGACTTCTCATGCCCCTCACTCCTCTGTGCCCTTGATACCAGGACCCTACTGATCCTAAACCTTCCCCTTGGTGCCCGCCCTCTGGAGTTGCCTGAGTGTTTTGCTTATGGCCATGCCCACGTCCATCCTGAAATTCCCTGGGATTGGTGAGCACTCTGTCTCCCGTCTCCTGTGAGGCTGGATGGTGACCTTGTCCATTTCCAGGGCCCCATCCTCCTCCTTCTCCACGGCTTCACGCTCGGCCTCACCCTAGATCTAGAACATGCCTTACCTCCTAATCACACTCTCTGGGTTTCTCTTGGCCCTCATTCTCCCTCTCTGCCTTCTTCAATCTTTCTCTTTTGCCTTCTTCTCTATCTACAGACATGCACAGCCTTCTCTACATGAAAAGAATCCTACAACAGACCCTGATGCCTCTCATATGCTGCCCATTCTCTTCCTCTAGTTCCTGATGTCTCCAAGGGATACTCTATGTTGTTGTTGTTATGTGCCATCGAGCCGCCTGCAACTTATAGTGACCCTATGCACAGCCGCTCTGAACCCTCCCTTGTCCTGAACCAGTCTCACTGACTCTGACACACCTACCCCCATTGCCCCAGTCACTAAATCAACCCATCTCATCTGGGATCTTCCTCTCCTGTGCTGTCCCTCCATCCTTCTGAGCATGGTGTCCTTCTC